TAGCTTGAAAAACCACATATGCCAGAGGCACATCACTTTACATAGATATGAGAGCAATGCAGCTATTATTGTTGACTGAATTACCTATGGTGGTATTTGATTTATGGTGAAGAATGCATAATTTAGACCATGAATCGTAAGGGTTAATATATATATATATATATATATATATATATATTGATCAGATCGATACTATATGAGCTGACCAATACGTATTAGGCCTAATCACATACGGTTGATGAGAGAAGACTTGGAGTTGAATAATCTACTTCTTGGGTTCTTGGGCTGTTGTCGATGGATAATGAGGGATTGATATGACTCTCTTTCAGCGCGATGAATCCGACTAGAGTGGGTACCTGCAATGACACTCCGATGCTTAAGTCAGTATCAAAGCTAGGCTTATATTGTACTTTTACTGAATTAGATTATCCTACCTGGGTATGTACCCTTTGTTTATATAGTGAATTTGATACCGCCTTTGGTAGGCGGTATGCCTTCTGATTGGCTGTTTATATGCTGCAGGTTCAACTGGTGCCTTTCTGGCCTTATCTCTATTATGTCAAGCTATCTGGGTAGAGTGGTGGCAAGCTGGAGCTGTCCTTTGTGTATTGATTCTGTGGCGCGGTGGCTTCTTATTCGTACTTTATTGATCTATTCCTTAACTCTGAAGTCATGTTTAAAGACGGTTTAGGCGCGATGAAACCATCGCGCCCCCTGATTCTTTATGCGTGATGTGGATATCGCGCATTGTTCGGGCCTTGTGTGCTTGGGCTTTTAATCTTTAGATTTTAACCTTTGGTGGGCCTATTGTATTTTATACAGATCATATATATATATATATATATATATATAGGGTTCCTCATTTCTGTTGTCACTGCTGATGAAAAAACTTGCAGCAAATATATTTATATTAGGATACGGAGCCGGATCCTGAAATTAAAAAAAAAAAATCCAAGATACGGAACCGGATCTTGGTGGAAGTAAGTGTTGCTGCACATTTTTTGATCTGCAGCAACGGGAGAGCTATTAAAGCCACACACACACACACACACACACACACACACACACACACACACACACACACACACACATATATACTCAAGCCTATGGAATTATTGATCTTGTAGCGGTTTGAAAAAAGAATTCGCAGCTAGGATTCCTCGCGAATACATGGTTTGAGATTTGATTTGATCTTGTTAATCTTTTTATCGGACTAAATCGAATATTTCTATTAATTAATCTATTCCTATGATATAATATAAGTAATTCCTAATAATATTAGTAATTCCTAATTAATCGTTGGGGGTTAGGATTGATCGGAACCAGCTGATTATGAATATGACTCATCGTGCCGACTATGAAACAACTTATTAAAAAGATAAGACAGTCAATCCGAAATGTCACGAAATCCCCCGCCCTTCAGGGATGCCCTCAGCATCGAGGAACGTGTACTAGTGTATATATATATATATATATATATATATATATATATATATATATATATATATATATATATATATGTATATGCAGTATATTCTTACACCGGTGTAAGAGTTCGAAGTCTTACACTCAATCTTGATCATTGATCCACTTGTATCCAATGGCTCACATTACTAAAAAATTTGAGCCCTTAGATATAAGTGAGATCAGCGGACAAGATTGAGAGTGTAACTTACACTGGTGTAAAATGATCCTAACCCATGTATATATATATATATATATATATATATATATATCTATTTCTTCAGTTATAGGAGATAAAAATATCTCTTACAACCTCAAAATAATATCAAATTAAGGTTTGCGAAAAATATATAAAATATTTTGAGAAAATTTATATTGTAAGAGAGAATCAAAATTCTTAAAATACCTTTTTTTCCATTTCCTAAACTCAAAATAATAACATTTGGGTTTAGAAAATAGTTTCCACTCTGAATATTATGTCTGCAGGAAATTCATTCAGCCCGTAAACATGACCGGTGCATTTCTCATGCATATAACATGGAAATGTTATAATCCCGTGAAAAGCAGATCATCATGAGCACTACCAGTTCTATTAAGGACTTTTTCTAATGTCTTGTTGTAATTTTTTTTTTATTGCTCTAAGGATATTCTCACAATCGACAATCGAAGAGTAATCTTTCAGAGGCATAGAGATTACCAAATGAGACATAAAAATTATCGAAGTGGACTTTGTCTCTACTAACAAAGCATTTTTCATGGCCAAAGAATCGAACCTCTATTAACATAATTAAGAAACTTAACTGTATTTAAGATAAGAGAGTGTTATATTTATAAATTTTTTGTTTATAAATTCTTACAAACTACACTAAATATGACCGGTCATACTTCAATCAAGAATGTATGACCAGTTATACTTAATATAATTTGTAAAAAAAAAATTGTAAATGAATCCATCCCTTTTAAGATATATACATCTTCCACCACGTTGTAAAAGTAGAAATAATACTACTAAACAACAAACGGAGAAAACCTTTACGGAGAAAAGGCCTCGTATTAGTGCCTTAGTTTTATTTATCTTTTTCTTTTTGCTTTCTTTTTCAATTTTTTTAAGCTGGAACTTTTTTTTTTGGTTGGCTGGAACTTTGTCTAAGACTCAACCTAAAAACCTTCCATTATGTTAGGATAAAGACGGGTCTCTTATGCAGTGTTTTTAAATATTTCTTTGATATTTGCAAGTTTATTCACGAAGCATGTAAATTATTGAGAAAACGACCTCAAAAGAAGATCAAGGACAACTATAACAATTTCAAAACTCCTTTACAACCCACCGACTTTATATAATTTGCATAATGTTTGCACGGTTCTAATTCTTTCTTTCAATAATTTCTTACTTTTTCATTTTTTTTTTTTAATTTCACTTCACCATAAAGGCATATATACTTTATATTTGACTCTACTAATTATTTGCCACTTTTTTTTGGCCAAATTGTGTTCTGAATAATAGCAGGGTGTATGCACAATAAGAATAAAAAAGTTGTCAATGTTACCCTCTTTTTAACTAAAGATGGTATAAAAGGTGGAACTCTTATTTAGATTCTCTTATTATTTGTTAAAAAAAAATGGTACAACGATATGATCAAAAGATTTATTACGATAATATGTTTTTACTTCTTCTTCTTTTTTTAAAATGATAATATATTTTTATTTTATTTTTTTTGAAAATATTCCAATCGGTTCATCGGAGTAGGTACATAATTAATAAACTTCTCCTAAAGATGGCACTGCAGAGGATCGAACACATATTTTTCTCCCACCTACTCAGTTCACATGTGCCAAGTGAACTATCATTATTTGATTGTTTTTACTTAGTAATAAATTATAAAGGAAAATAAACTTCAATTGAGCTATCATCATTTGTTCATTGGTTCGATTTGTAGGCAAGACAATTGGACCAGTGGTAAGATTTTTTACCCTTTATCCCAAAAAAGGGGAAAACCAAAAATAAAAAAAAAAATACAGGCAGAAATTCCAGTCTCACCAATTTTAAGTGGCCACCAATGGGATTAGTCTCATTAAAAAATAAATTGTAAGAAGAAATACCTTACCATAATAAGGATCTATAATTCATTCATCAAAATAAGGAGCAATTCCAGTAATTACAGTCACCAATTTTGAATGATGATTATACATACCCTACACATTATTATAGAAAGATATGTGGAACCTCGTGATCTAACAATATTCATAAATCCAGTCCTTTTCATTATTTCGACATGTCAACATACGTTCCAGGCCAGGTAATTTTCAGTTTATGAATATTAATTTATTGAAAGGAGTCGAAATGTGTGTAATAATCATTCCATTATGAAGTACTAAATCGACTGGGAGACTAAATTATTATTATTATTATTATTATATTTTTACAGTTGACTTTCTACTTGCAAATTCAAGTTATACTTGTAAGCCATTTCACTAAGAGTAAATTTTCCATACGATAATCTATATTTCATCATTTTCATTTTTTTATACAAACATTATTGTGAGGGTATTCACGTAGGTTCCAAAAAAGAATTCAGTTAGGTAGTGTTTGGTTCGGGAGAAATTTTTTTTACTAGGGAAATGTAATTGATAGAAAAATAGTTGGAAAGTGAGTTTGATAGGAAAATGTAAAAAAAGTTGTTTGGTTGACCCAAATATTACCAGGGAAATTTATTTAAATATGCAAAATCTATGTTCGGGAGAAACTTTGCACCTGTTTTTTCACTTCCCCAGTCATCTCACAATACCACATCTCAAGTGGTATTTTGTAACATTGAATTTCATCCAAAAATCAACACAAAAATCATTTTCCCATCTATTCTATTTGTCTGGTATTTCTTGAAAAAACCTGAACCAAACGTGGTATTTTGCAATATCCACCTACACTTTCCCATCAATCCTAAAATAAACCTTCAACCAAACACTACCTTAGGGAAAATCTGCCTAGGATTTTACCACTTGGTCGGGAGTTGCAACCCGCACACAAATAAAATGATTGAGGAATGATAATTATATTATAGGAGATAAATTTATCTATTATGTGGGAGAGGACTTCGGTTCGAATTCTACCAACAATATCTGAGGAGAGGCATAAGTACCGTAATCTTTGGACTCGCACCCGAACTCTGGATTAGTCCCATAGACGGCTCAAAGAGTCGAACCCGTAGGAATACCGGGAGTTCTGATTCGCCTCAAAGAAGTAATTAGAATCAGTTACCAAACAAAAATTTATCTGCTATACATATATAAAAATATATAAAATCTATGTGAATTCATATGAACGAAGAGAGATAAGAAAAAAATATAAATTTCACACACTTTATATATATTTACAAGATAAATATATCTCCTGTAACGTACGAAAGGCACTATAAAATCACGAACATTGAGCAGTTTCTATCAAGGCAGGTTACCTTTAAATTGGGGCAGAATGGAACACTACCACCCTTTTCTTTCCTACATTTCTCATCTCTCCCCCAACTACAAGTCACAAACCAAACCCACGAAATTGATCTCATCTCTATGACTTTTCAAAGGACCTGATGGCACTTCTATAAAACCACAATTCACATTCATTCACCACCGTTCTCTCTCTCTCTCTCTATATATATATATATACAAACTCAGTGACACACGTTTTTATCTCTATAAAACCACAAATACCAACTTCACTAGCTCATCATAAAGTACCCCTGCCACTGTATTGTGTTCGAGCCTTTTATTGAGGAGAAGTAACAAACATTATTTGATGGGGTCAGAATCTGACCATATTCGCGAACGGACCTACAAACCGACAAAACTCTCCCAGTTAAACTCACGGCTAACCAAGCCGCCGGAGATTCCGCCGCCGCCGCCGCAGACTACGGTTTCGGTTCCTTTCAAGTGGGAGGAAGCACCGGGGAAGCCTAGGCATTGCCACACCGAATCGGAGCCCGGGAACAATGCTAGAACCTTGGAACTGCCTCCGAGGTTGCTGTTTTTGGAGTCCAAGGTTTCCAACATGGACGCGCCTTCCCCTACAACAGTGTTGGATGGGCCGTACATGGGCCGGGCCATGTCCTTCACATCCTCCTATAGGACTCCTAGGGGCTCATGGAATTCCAATTTTGGGTCCACCAGGTGGAGCGGTTTCAAGAAGATTTACAAAGAGGATTATGAGGGCAGTTTTGACTTTTCAGGCCACTGCACTACAAGTACTAAGCCTAAGGTGAAGATCACAAGGGCTCCGAGAAGAGGAAGCTTCTTGAATTTTTCGAAGGCAAGGTCACATTTGTGGGTAAGTGATAATTCATCTAATTTATCTTTCTCAATCTTCGATAATTAATCGGTGTTCCATCTCCTAACCCTTTCTCTATTCAGAAATTCTTAACAAACAAAAAAATCTCTTCAATGTTATATAGTTAAATATTTATCACTTTGATTATGCGGCCATTATTATCTCATTTTTTAATTATACTTTTCATTATGATATAAATTGAATATAAGAAAAAAGAAATTGTACTTTAGAATAATTGTGCTCGATTCAATATATTTCATTCCACTGAATCTTGCATAATGGAGGGTTATCCAAGATGTTAGATGTGCATTATAAAACGCAAATTGATTCATAGGAAAAAGGTAAATTTTTACTCTAAATATATTGCTTTTTGCATTTAATTATATTGTCTAGGTGGCTACAACTAAGCTACCAAATTTATGAAAATTTATATGCTCCTTTTCATTTTCTTCGCTAGAAAAGCTACACTTGCGACAGTAATGACAAAATTTCCCTTACTTTCTGTGAGTCAAAAGATTAAAACAGTCAAATGGGAGCAATATTTGGGTACCCGAAGCTGGACTTTCACTCCCTGGCTACAGAAAAAGCATTGACCGCTATTGCTGCTGCGACTTTTGGTTTTTCTTGCGTGTAAATTTGGCTAATATTAACGTTAGGAGCATATTATATTTACAAATTTTTTTTTTATAAATTTTAAAAAAATACACTAAATACGATCGGTCATACTTTAATCATCCAGCGTACGACCTGTCGTACTTAGTGTAATTTGCAAAAAAAATTTGTGAACGGATCATATCCCTTAACGTTATCCATACATTATTTTTATTATAGTATTTTTTTAGTACTAAAATAAAAAATACATTCTAAAATAGCTTTATTTTCTTAAACTAAAATAATGTAAAGTATATGTAATTATTATGGTGTTCAAATAATAATTTTTTTTTTTTTTTTTTGGTAAGCAATAAATTCTTTGTTGATTGAGATATTCTTGTGTCCTACTGATATAATTTTTTTCTTTTAATAAAACTACTACCATTGAATTTTTGTAGATCCTACAAATCATGCAAGTCTTATTGACAATTTAATGATAAAATGTCATTTTGAAGGGGAAAACTTGATGAGGACACAAGAATTTTGATTTCTTGGGAGAGTATCGAAAAATTAGGTTACATACTCCTTACAAAACTTAATTCAATGAGTACAATTTTTTCCTCCATAATTTTACCAGTAACTAAAAGAATTTGAGTGTTTATTGCTCCATTAGATTTTTGTACCTGCACCATTTGGGTATTTAACTTTGAAATGGATCCTTTGTTTAATATGACCATGCTGTTTGAGAAGATCTTGATTATTAATAAACAAATGATTTGATAAATTTTTTGTTTTTTTTGGGTACAGGATTTGGTAACTTCTTGTCCTAATATTTTTTTATTTTTTTTTTCTGTTTTCAGCTTATCATGATTTATTTACCCTTGTATAATATGTTAAATTTTCCATCTACTATTTTTCTCGTGCTTAGTTAGGTAGATATCATATCATGTAATTAATAGTAATTATATAACTGCAGGCAAGCATTTATGAAAGCTTTAAGCAAGTGGTCCCATGGAGACGCAGGCAATGAACACTCAAAAAAAGAGCTTCCAAATTGACACCGTTTAATGAAGATTTGGAGTGATCCCACTCACTGGGTTACAGCTTATGGCTGAGCCTCTTGCCCGTATATTTTCCGTTTCTTTTTCTTTTCTTGTAATTCACAATATATTTAATAAATAATGATTATGATAATAATGATTTATATAATCAAATTATTTAGTGGATATGCATATGATATATAAGTAACTAGTAAGTAGTAAGTATATGAATATATATATTTGAATTTTAACCATCTTAAACTATGCTACAAAGAATATCTAACATTATGATCTGTCTTTGATTGGAATGGGAGATAAATTAGTTAGTGTGCACATAAGTTATATCGAACATCACCTTCTTAAAATATCAACAACAAAAAATCTTCAAAAATGTTAAATTATTTAATTAATGTGTCAATACATAAGTTGGTGATAGCATATATTTTTTATGCTAACAATAAATTCAATATTTCACCAAAAGAATTCATTAACAATTAATTTTATTATTAATAGTGTTTATAAGTTCACTCCTATATTTACCAGGCGTATTTATTGGATCGAAATTGCTTAGGTATCCAAACCTTTTTTTTTTAAATGTCGAACATTTGATCCTCTATCTTTTTTGTTGAGTTTTTAATTAAATATAACTAGGGTTCACTTTTTCTGCAGGTACCGCATATAAGTTATCTGCAGTAAATTTAATATGATATTCTTTTGGGGCAGAAATTATGGTATTTTTGTAATTTTAATTTATTTCAGGGCTATAATAATCTTTATATTTATAATTTTTTAAGATTTCAATAACAAAATAACGTTATTTTGAAAATAAATGCAGATAACTTATCTGCATTATTTTTTTCCATATAACTATACATGTCTGTAGCATATTTTGGGAGAGCGTATGTTGCTTTTATGTTTCATGTATTACTCTAAATTTTAAATTTAATAAATGAATATCTAGAAAGTTTAAAATAAAATTTTAAAAATATAATTAAAAAAATGTACACAAATTTTCCATTATTTTTTGTGTATAATATATTAGTTTAAATATATTTATAATTTCAAAGTATAATAAAGAGATTCATTGAAATTTTGATAATTACATGAGTAATTGTATTTTGTTTTTGTTGTATGTAATATTTATGTGAATTTGTGATTCAGATTTATATATTTGCATGTACATTGTACACGAGAAAAGTGTTTCTCTTGCGATAGAAAAAAAATTATCTCTAGCAATTTTAAAATGTTGTTATTTTGGGGTTTAAAAAAAGAGATTAGTGTTTATTATTTTAAAAGACATAAAACTGTTTAGTCAAAACTATAATATTTTATGGTGAGAAAAAGAGTTACACAATACAAATCATTGAGGGAAAAGTGAGAGTTTTTTTTTAATTTATATTAAATTAAAAAATAGTCATTTTAATTAAAATAACTGTCTTTAAAAAAATAATTTTTTTCCATAAAAAATGTAAGGTCTTGTTTCATGAATTTTTTTAGAATATTCTATATATTTTTTTCTAAACCCCAAAATGACCTCATTTTACAAGAAAAACATTAATTCTATTGTATAAAATATAGTAAAATCAATCTTTTTAAAAAAAAAAATTCATATTATGATAGTCATTTATAACATGAAATATTTTCACTTGGCAAATGGTGTAAGAAAATCTCATATACTCAACGACATAAATAAAATTTCAATTCCACCCATCAAAAAACGATGTAAGAAAATGATATAAAAGTTAGGATTTTTCCCCCAATATACTCATTTAATTACACGAAGTGCTTATAATATAATTTTTTTTTTTACACATGATAAAAAAAAAATCTTTGCTTGTGTTTGTATGCATAGTTTGTCTCAAACTAAGATAAAGAAAGACGGTGACAAGGTGTAGCAAGTCGGCTATAAAAAAAAAAACTGTTCATATGATTATGAACCATTATGATTTTTTATTGGAGCATGCCTTTTATAGCGACACATTATATTGAATACCGGGTGTGATGAGAAATGGGCAAGGCATCACATCTTCATCCATATTTGGTAACAAGTATATTAGAATCCAAACACGCTTGTGGACGAGCGGGGTGGGTAAGAAATGCCCAAGGGATAGGATGTGATTGTGAAGTTAGAACATAAGAATCATAATGGGTAAGTTGAGGAAGTTAGTAGATGTTTTTGTTAGAATCTCGTGTGTAGATTGCAAAACTATCTTGAAGAATATATTGCTATGCAACATGTGTTGATGGTTTTAGAGATTCAGTTAAACAAAATACCAAAAATGAAAAAAAAAAATTAATCATAACCCAAGAATAAGATGGTGAAAGCTAAAAAAGAAAAAATAATTCGAGTTTAAAAAAGAACACTTAAATAAGAATCGTGGAAGTTAGATGGAGGAATAAATGAAATGTTGAACGAGATGTCTATTTGTATCCAAAAAGTGGGAAGTGGTTCTTAGTGGAAAGTAAAAAGAACATATACCAAACAAATGAAGCTTGGTGGTGGAATGAAGATGTGCAATAAGAATTAAATAGAAGAACAAGTGCTTTAGATTTTTGCATAAATGTCCTAGTAAGGAAAACTCAAAAAGTTTAGACTGGCTAGAAAAAATGCTAAGAAAGCAGTATCAGAGGGTTAAGGCAAGATTTTTCATGATTTTTACAAAAAAAAAAAAAAAATGAAGACTTGACCTAGGTTAGATGCATCAATGATGAAAAATAAAAAAAAATTGGCAAGAGAGACAAAAATTAAAGAAAGATGGATGAATTATTTTAACAATATTTTTAACGGGGATAATTAAGAAAGTGAGGTGGATTTGGACGATGATTATGATGATTTGAATAAAAAATTTGCGTGTAGAATTAGAGTACATGAAGTTAAGAAGGCATTAAAGAGGATGAAGATAAGTAAACCTTTGGAACTCGATAATATCCCTATTGAACTGTGGAGATGCCTAGAGAATATGGCAATAAATTGGTTGACAAATCTTTCTAATAAGATTCTTCGAATAATAAGTATGGGTGGAAATTCGGGTTGACACGAACATGAATACACTTAACACACACGAATTTGAATTTGGGTTTAAAACTTTCAACACGAACACAACCCGCTTATTTTGCGGGTTAACATGACACAAACACAATCCACTTATTTTACAGGTTGACACGACATGATATAAATAACCCACAAACTCGTGGTGTGTCGCTTATTACGCGGGTTGACATGACACAATATGAATGACCTGTAAACTCCAAACTATGTTACTTAATATGAAGGTTGACACGACATGATAAAATACGAATAACTTATTTAAGACACGACATGACACAAATAACTTGTAAAAAGATTAATGCAAGCCAATTTTGGGTTTGCATGTTAACACGCGACACAACACAAAAATATTTAGGTCAGTTTTTGAAAACAAGTTGACTTACACACAAACTTTTGTGTCGTGTCACCAAGTCGTATTGAAAATTGTCACCCCAACTAATAAGATATCTCATGTATGGGAGGAATAGTATTCTTGTGCCTATTTACAAAAACAAATGAGAAATTCGTACTTGATCTAACTATAGAGGCATTAAGGTTATAAGTCATGTTATGAAGTTGCAGGAGAAAATTGTTAAGAATCACTTGAGAATAGAAACCAAGGTCTATGTTAATCAATTTAGAATTACATCGGGAAGATCTACCTTGGATCTGGTTATTTTCTTGATGCGATGATTAATGAAAAGATATCGAGAAAAGAAGAATGACCTACATATGGTGTTAATTGATCTTGATAAATCATAAGATAACGTTCCAAGAAAGCTTCTCTGTTCAGTTCTTGAGAAGAAAAAAATATCATAAGAATATGTAGAGGCAATCCAAGAAAAAAAATAGTTCGCTGACTGGGCCAGCGAACTAGGTGCCAAGTGGCAGACACTGACACAGTTCGCTGTACCCAGTAGCGAACTCTGTGCCACGTGGCAGCTCCCCAGAAGTTGGCTGCATGGGTAAGCGAGCTACCTGTCGACAGTTACAGTTCGCTGGCATAGGTAGCGAACTTTGTGCTATTTAAACCCCAGCCCCTCCCCTTCCCGACCCACTTTGTCATTCTCGTGCATTTTTCTTTAAAGGTTCCATTCTTGTTTGCTATTTTTTGCTATTTCAGTACTGATGCTCACCGGCAAGTATACCGATCACACAAGTAATATAATGATAAGTAGAGTATCGTCTCCATAGGGATTGGGTCGAATATCAATTAATAATTCTTTTCAAGAATGGATGAGTTCAAATGGTTTTGACAAATATTGTCGATTTGTGTGAAATCGAGAACTGAAAATAAGGACTTGTTTTTGTATTTTTAATTATGAGAAAAAGAATAATAAAAAGAGAATTGATTTGAAAAAATGTGAGAAAAGCATTGTAGCTAGAGCGCACTCACCTTATGATCCCCACTTCTTACTTTGGATTTATTTACAAAATTCAATTATATAATTACTCGGATAAATTATTATCTAAAACAATTAGTTAAATCCCAATCCCTTGGCAATTTAACCCTTTAATCTCAATTGGAATCCTAATCCCTTAGCAACCCCTCATGAAAATTAAGCGATGAACTCAATAATTTAGGCATCCGCAATTCAATACACATCTATTCCTAGCATGCATACGAACCGTTATCCTACCCCCTTTCAGGATGAAAACCCCAATATTTCTATCTAGGGTTCTAACCCTCAAACTATTCTCAACTATCAGATTGATCAAGTCTAATAAAGAAAATATCAAATACGCACAAGGTAAAGATAAAGATAAATTATATAAATGAGCAATTATAAATCAATCCGTGTAACAAGGGTTCACATAGGGTTTGTGACCCTAACTAAAATAAAAAGAAAACTAGTCAAACATAATCATGGCTAATAAATCAATATTCAATATTCAATGGGATGGAAGAATGAAAGATGATCAAGAATCCTTCTCCGAAGCTCTTCTCCTTCAGCACGACGGTCTCCTTCGGTCTAGATACCTAATTCTGTGCTGAGCCTCCTTTTTATAATACTCTTGTAGGTCTTCCAAATTTAACCTTTTGGACAAAACAGATTTACAGTATCGCACGCTGACGCTCTCAGCGTCAAATCCACGCTGTGAGCGTGGTTGTCTCTGAACTCCCACGCTGTCAGCTTGCTATCCACGCTGTGGGCGTGGGTAGAAGGATAATTTTTCACGCTATCAGCGTGGAATCCACGCTGTGGGCGTGGAAGCCTCTGGTTCTTCACGCTACCAGCGTGACATCCACGCTGTGAGCGTGG